TGGAGCCCTGAGAGGAGACAGGTTTGCTCCCTGCTTAAAGGAGGCTGAAGAGACACTGTGAGCTTTGAAAAGAAGCTGTAATAGAGAAGTAAAAAGCTTCAGAGAGCTGCTATTATCATTCATGCTACTGGTCTCTGTATTTTGAAATAGTAACCCTGTAAACATGTACTGCCCAAGTTTTCTTTTGAGGGGACTGTGAAAGAGGCATCTTTCCCATCCTGATTGTAAAGTAAGGTTAACTTGAATTTTCAGTGTAAATGGGTTATTAACATTACTATACCAGTTTTGAGAATAAGTCTATAGGTGGTTAACACCAGTGTGTATGAAAATAAGATTTGAAATAAAAGCACATAAAATAAGTAATAGGTTAAAGTCCATTATGAATTCAGAAAGAAAAAAATTTGGAGCACTTAGTCCCTGCATTACTACTTCAATTAAACTAAACCAAATCTTTAAAATGAAGTATTGTGGGAAGACAACTGATTAGATGTGGGTTCTACTTTCACAACTGCACAACCAAATTACATTCAAAATTATTATTTTTTAGTTCTTGGATCTGTGATGTTTTAGCAGTTATGGAAAAAAGTTCTAAAAAAAATCTGAACATTGTTGTTAAACTGCCCGATGTATGGGATTTTTAATGACGATACCTCACACTGATTTTTACATGTAGGTAATAAAATAGCATTGTACTTCCAACGGAGATAGCTTTTTCACAATTTAATTCCTGAACAGTCACATATACAATCTCTCTCTCTCATGTAAACTGTTAAATTTTAAAATTCAGTTTTAATGGGTAAATTTTCAATTCAACATGAATGAGGAGCTGAATATTATTTAAAATCAGATCTCTTCATATTGCTCTTCAACTAAGAGCCGTTGGCTCAGACAACTTCAAGTCATCTGACAAATTCAGAGTCAATTCTGTTTCACAAAGCACTATTGACAGACTCCTATTTTAACACTAGACGAAGGACAGTTTTGTTAAGCAAAATGACGTAAGGCCAGAAAGACCAACGCTATTCAGATTTGGTTAGATGGCGTCTCTAAAGTCAGCTGGTTTTCCCTAGTCAGTCCAATGTAAGGAGAACCGCACCGCCAAATAATCCCACTAATTTTAAATGGAAATAGATACCAAATGAAGATTGCAGGCCTTCAGGATGAAATGCTGTGTTTAAATCAGTGCTTTTCATTGTCTAGATAACCCACGTAGAGCACAATTTTCTTCTAGCTAACCTGTGCCAAAAAAATCTTCAGGCCTCTCTATCTGTCTTCACATGCACAGCCATAACGCAAGACAGTGTAACAGCTACGCTTAGGTGCGCCGAAGAATCAAGGGCACAGCACAGAACGTCGCAAAGACACACATTACATGCACTACCTCAGCCAGTTTGCACAGTGTACATTGAACTTCGCATGCACGTCAGGAGTGGGTGTGCTGGTGGAAGCAAACAGGACATTGTATACCACTGATCTGACACATTTACACATCCAAAGCATGTAACCAAATTTGTTTAATATTACCCTGGCTCAGAAGCAATGAATGCTTTGTGGTCCTGCCACCTTCCAAAACTGAGTAAAAGGAAATAAAGAATCACAGCACAGAGAAATTTAGAGATGCTACACTTGCAAACATGGAGATAAAATTCAGAGATTACATACGTGCCTTCATACAACTTCCACAAAATTAACCAAACATTTTGCAGTGCCACAGAAAATGGGTCTGAGGAAAGGTGGCTACATTCAATGCTGAGGCTAGTTTGCATTCAGTGTGAGTAGGTCCTCATGCAAAACATGCTTGTCACATTATTGTGGAGAGATATGAGCTTACTGTTCAGAAAGGAGGAAAAGAAAGCAAGCTTCAAGCCCCAGGAGAACACAGTGGCAAGAACCTGCAAAGGTGTTACATTATTATCAATACCAAGAAGTCCACTAAGCTACTTTAAATCTGTTGGTGCTTCATGTAACGATATGCCCAGAATACAGCTGTTTTGGAAGCGAGGCCCATAGGATTATGCAAGGATAACGTACCATTGAAAGGAACTCAACATTTATAACCAAACATCACAAAGTGAGAGAGACAGAACAGTTTAAAATCATCTGAAAATTTGACAAATTACTTAATTACCACTTTCATTATAGGTAACAAATCAGTCATCATCAAAAGCCATTAAACTCTTTAAGTTATCTTCAAACCCAAAGGTCCCCCATCCCCACGATACAATGACACAACTACCCGAAAGCAATGATTCTGCTGCATCAGGAAGGCTCACACCCTGTTCCTCATCCCTGGCACATGACAACATTACAGCTTTGACTGTCAGATGACTTTCACTACTCATTTACTCTGAACTGCAAAGGGAATGTAATCAACAGACTTACACTGTTGATACCAAGTGGTATTCAGCAAGGGTAAGTCTAGTACAGGAGACTAACATGAGCCTTTTCTACTTTTGGGATTTATGTACAGGAGCCTTCATATCTAAATGGTGGGCAGCAGAAACCCAAAATACACTCCTAAATGAAAAGAAGGAATTGCTTCATTAAAAAACCCAGTCTGCTCCATTTTCGGGAAGCTCTCATTTAGAAGAGGGCTCAGCTCTCCCAGAGAAGGTCTGTGTTGTAGAGACAAGAGGCTGCGCCCTCATCAGCCAGGTAAGTGTGGGAGGAGCTCTACTCTGTGGCTTGCACCTTCCACGTAATGGCCATAGCCACCAAACACACCTCCACCACTTGCCACCATGGGGGTGGAAACGTGTATCTTCATAATGGCACTAAGTGTCTTCTACCCAGACAGACAAGTACATCTCTCTGTTTCCTTCTGGCTCCGTTAGTTTGGGGCACACACACTTACAACTGAAATGTAAAAGCCAAGTAAACACCAATCCCAGGGAAATCAACCTTCTTCCCATTCCAGCCCCCCCTCCCAGCCCCCCCCCCAGCAATAACACAACAGGCTATTCTAACGAACCAGAGACAAGTAACAGTAATATAAGCTATTACATACAAGTTACACCATGGAGAGCTATATATTCACACACACACGTTAACCAGAGCCTGCCAGTGGAGTCAACGAGCAATTACCAAAATGAATCATTATGTACAGATGCCTATCAGAAGGATAACATTTCTGGTTGCCATAAAAAACAATCCCAAACCGCTTCCTTCATTTGCTCCATACTCAGGATTTGACTAAATCCTGACAGAGAGGTAAGAATGATCCGATTGAATGTTCTAACTCAATAAATGAAAGTCACTTCAATCAACTCAATGTGTCTGATTTTATCTGTCTGATTTACAGTTTCTTGAGAATGCTTCAGGCCAAGCCAAACAGTGCCACAAGACACTCTAACTTTAAAATACCAGACTAGATAAGCTTTGCAAAAATGCATTAGCCATCATTTGAAAAATGCAACATTTGTTAAAGACCTCACCTCTGTGCTAAAGTTTCACCATGGAATGCAAGCAGAGTTATGTAAGCAACATGTCCTGCACTAACTTACTGGCAAAAGAGAGCAAATGGAGCGGCTGTTTCTGATTTAGCTTCTTAAATTCCTTCTCAAACACTACAAGCTACACTGGAAAAAGGCCTTCACACCTGAGTAAGACTCCTCCATAAAAGTCCTCACCCAACGATAACAACCACCCCCTCATAATCAAGGCCACAGTTCTGCAGTCCCTTTAAACCGATCTAAATGCTGCTATTTTGCCAGAAGAGGCAGTCTCCTCCTCAGTCCATTCTGATTTTGTCTTCTTGCTCTTTCCATTGTATTAGCAGTAGGAATTGTACAGCATCACAGAAAATTGGATCAAGGAACTGACCTGGCTCAAAATAGGTAATCATGTGGCTTAAAGCAATTGTGAAAGACTGTCTTTGCTTATGGCAAAACTCTGTTTATAGGCAGAGCCCTTGCTGATACGCTACTTTTTCAGCCGTGAACTTTATGTGCTGAAACTATGTTTTCATCGTGTGTTTGCCTGGCCCTTGGCACAGTGGGGTCCAAAAGCATGTCTGCAACAGTTTGCGAATAAAGAGTGGTTTCTTCTATGCA